GCCCCCACCAACTGTGGAACAGCACCAGACATGACAGCACCGATCTCACCGAAACGTTCCAAATACTGAACAATTTGGAGGGTGTTGATGGGGACAATGTGTTCAGACGGTCAGCTGTAACACAACAAGGAACAACAACAGTGTCGACCTTAACAAGCCACAATGTTGGCCTGACAGATGTGTCTTCACCCTCGGGGTTATTAACCCGTGGAACCGCCTACCCGCCCAAGCCCTACTGCCCATAACTCTGCTCAACTTTAAAATCCAGCTTGAAAAAAATATTCAGGACAAATCGAGGGGACCTTTGACAGGCCGGCGGCTTCCTGTCCTCATCGAGGCCACTAGAGCGTTACTGGCCCTCAGGTAAATTCAGGTAAAAGACTGTGACGGCTGTGACACTAAACTTTACACTTCTCCCGCTCCTCACATAATGATTGCTCGCTTTTCCTAGTAATCTTTGATGACATAGTTCAGTGTCTACAGAGATAGGCGAACACATTGTTAAATTGCATTTTCATTAGTCTTGGCTACTCACTAGTGCCCAGTAACGCTGGTTATAGCACTCGGTCCATAGACCAGGGGCCACTATGTCAGCCCCTCGGCGTCCCTAGTAACCGCCTCGTTGCTAGGGCTGATGTCACGGGAACACAACAAATGTCAGCTGATCCATTTGGCGGGAAATTTGGTTGCTATTCTGCTTCCTTACAGCCTTTATGGTGTATGTCATTATTTGAGGCTTACTGACCACACTTGGCTAGAGCCCTTTAGCACAGTAGTCTACGTCCTCAGCTCGCAATAGAGAGAGCCGGCTTCAATACGTGGGCATACAGAAACGGTTGGGCACATTTCCTCTGTGTTCATATTGACAAGCTGAACTTCCATTGTCATATACAAAACATAACAACACAGTTTCTAAAGTAGATCTCTCCTAGAACGATGAGATACTATAGGCACCTCGCAAGAGAAACTAACAACTACTGTTCTGTTGTATGTTGTTGTTGTTCTGAACTACTACTGTTGTATGTACTAGCTCTATCTATACATTTATCAATTTTTGTAAAACCTCTTGTATGTATATACCTTACCTGAATAAACATTTATTTATTTATTTATTTATTTACTGTATTAACATTAAGGAACCAATTTTCCTCACCTTATACCATCCTACATGTTAACAAAGCTGTTTTGCTGCTGTTTCTATCATAAAAAATCTATGTCATTTTTCTAACTCTCATTTACAATGTTAATATTAGTAACTATGTACTGATAAAACAACGGCTGTTTATATATATCTTGTATAATTGTCAATTATACTTCACGAAGGGCTTGCGAAGCCCGGCGCTTCCCAAGCGATTTGGCCAGGGTTCGAATCCTGGCCGGGGAGGATTGACTAGGCACCAATCCTTAACTGTATGCCTCTGTTCACCCAGTAGGGAAAGGGGAACCTGGTTGTTAAACGATTTGGCAGGTCGTGTTCCAGGGAAGCTTGAGATTATACGACCTGCCCGAAACGCCATGCATGCTATAGTCGCTTTATAACAATGTAAAAATTCTTGTATATATGTAAAAAAATATAATTATTATTATTTTCAAAATTTTCCCACAATTCAAATTCAATTTTCATTATTATCCAATTACACATATTAATTTTCTCTTTTTTTTTTTTTTTTTTTTTTTTTTGAGATATATACAAGAGTTGTTACATTCTTGTACAGCCACTAGTACGCGTAGCGTTTCGGGCAAGTCCTTAATCCTATGGTCCCTGGAATACGATCCCCTGCCGCGAAGAATCGTTTTTTCATCCAAGTACACATTTTACTGTTGCGTTAAACAGAGGCTACAGTTAAGGAATTGCGCCCAGTAAATCCTCCCCGGCCAGGATACGAACCCATGACATAGCGCTCGCGGAACGCCAGGCGAGTGTCTTACCACTACACCACGGAGACTATAATCTTAATCTTTATGTTACGTGCTCCTTAAAAGCTGGATATTATTTGCTATATTTCTTGGATAATATACTTGCTGCCATCTTGTTCAGTAGTAAATATTGTCTGTCTCACCCACACCTTTATATATGCCCTCACACGGAGCCGTTGAGTGTAACCTTGGAGTGTCAATGAGCAATCTGAGAGCAGCAGTACACTGAGAACTTCAACAAGATCTTGTAGATCTGAGGCAAAGTGAAATTGACACCAGTAATTCCATCTATCATCATACTATCATGCAAGAGGAGCCACACATCTATGGATCATCCAATAAAATCAGCAGACTTCTAGATGTTACTACTGCTCGGCTTAGACTCGGTTACAAGTATCTCTGGGAATTCTCATTATCTGCTGATGTAGACCTGACCAAATGTAAACTGTGTCAACAAAATTATTCGCACACCCTCCGTCACTATGTACTCACCTAGTTGTACTCACCTAGTTGTGTTTGCGGGGGTTGAGCTCTGGCTCTTTGGTCCCGCCTCTCAACTGTCAGTCAACAGGTGTACAGGTTCCTGAGCCTATTGGGCTCTATCATATCTACATTTGAGACTGTGTATGGAGTCAGCCTCCACCACATCACTTCCTAATGCATTCCATTTACTAACTACTCTGACACTGAAAAAGTTCTTTCTAATGTCTCTGTGGCTCATTTGGGTACTGGTCCAAGGACTGATCCCTATGTGATGGTGTGCGAAAAGATACGTGAATTTAGAGACAATTCTATAACCAATGTTCCAGCGATGTGTCAATATTTCATTCAAAATGATCTGCTACCAGAAATTTTAGCCAAATATCCCCAGTTTGCTAACTGTAGGTAGTAACTAAGTGACTGTAACCTATCCACCGCTGCCCACTGGATGGGGGGCGGTGTGCAGGACAAACATATCAATTGTGACACTAGCTCTCCACATATGTCAGTTGCTTAATTTAGAACCTGTACTTGAGGTCGATCTCGAACCCATTGTTGATGTGACGACTTATACTGAATTTTGTAACTAGCTCATCAAGATTGTAACTTGCTTAGCTAAATGAATAGTGGGGTTCAGTCCCTGAGCCCATTATGTGCCTCTGTAACCCTTTCCACTACCGCCCACAAGATGGGTATGGGGTGCATAATAAATGAACTAACCAAAACTCATACTCAGTTATAAAATAAATAATAATAATAAATGTTTATTTAGGTAAGGTACATACATACAAGAGATTTTACAAAGTTTGTTGGATTAATAGATAGAGCTAGTACATACAATGCGTAAAGCCACTATTACGCAGAGCGTTTCGGGCAGGAAAAACATTAATGACTAAAGCTTAATACTAATGGGTATAAAGAATAAAATGTGTTGAGAACAAATAAAAATAGAAGTAAAAGAGGGGGGAACATGGCTGAAAAAGCAGCACAAATACAATTACAAATTATTACAGACAATTACATACAAACAGCGGTGTTTTGAAAACAAAAAACAGACATTGGTTGACAACAGAGGGGTAAGGTAGGTTACAGGGAATTTATTAGGTATAGCTTCGTTTTTATCTTAAACTGGTTGAGAGAGGTACAGTCTTTAACATGGTTGGGAAGGTCATTCCACATTCTGGGTCCCTTGATTTGTAGAGCATTTCTGGTTTGATTAAGTCGTACTCTAGGAATATCAAAACTGTATTTATTTCTGGTGTGGTGCTCATGGGTTCTGTTACAACCTTCTATGAAGCTTTTGAGGTCAGGATTGGCATTACAGTTCAGCGTTTTATATATGTATAATACACATGAGAGAATGTGCAGTGACTTAATATCTAACATATTCAGAGATTTGAGTAGGGGTACCGAGTGATGTCTGGGGCCAGAGTTGGATATTGTCCTAATAGCAGCTTTGTGTTGAGTAATTAGAGGACGTAAATGATTTTGGGTAGTAGAACCCCAAGCACTAATACCATAGTTGAGATATGGATAGATGAGGGAGTAATAGAGAGTCACCAGGGCAGGGCGGGGTACATAATATCTGATCTTAGAAAGAATGCCCACAGTTTTTGAAACTTTTTTTGATATATTTAGAATGTGTCCCTGGAAATTCAGCTTGTGGTCGATGAGAACGCCAAGGAATTTGCCATCTAATTTGTTACAAATTTGGGTATTGTTTATTTTGAGATTTATTTGATTAGAGGATTTATTGCCAAACAGAATATAGAAAGTTTTGTCAATGTTAAGAGTGAGTTTGTTGGCAGTTAGCCAAAGATGGGCTTTATTTAGCTCAGTATTCACTGTGACATTTAGAGCAAGGGGGTCAGGACTGGAATAAATGAAGGTTGTGTCGTCAGCAAATAGAATTGGTTTGAGGTGTTGGGAGGCATTTGGAAGGTCATTAATGTAGATGAGAAAGAGGAGAGGGCCAAGTATGCTGCCCTGAGGAACACCAATGTTGATGGGTAGGGTGGGAGAAATTGAATTATTCACAGAAACATACTGGAGCCTGTCAGTAAGGTAGGATTTGAGGTATTGCAGGGAGTGTCCTCTGACTCCATAATGATGTAGTTTAAGAAGAAGGTTTTGGTGGTTGACAGTGTCAAAAGCCTTACGCAGGTCTATAAATAACCCAACAGGGAACTCCTTTTTATCAAGAGCTGCGTGAATCAAGTTAATCATATTAGTTAATCAAGTTAGTTATTTTATAGGTATACCCGAAACACTTTGCGTATTAGTGGCCTTATTAAATAACATATTCTGTAACCCTTATTAAACCACTGTATCATATTCTTCTGTATATTTTTTTAATAAAAATTAATATTATTATTATAGAATTAATCATACGTTGGCAGCGGCGTTGCAACCGAAACTCTCGTACTGGCATCACTTAGAAAGACATTCGAAGAAGCATCAAATATTACATATACAAAAAGTACATCAATTATTTTGAATCATATTATCGATCAAGTCTTGAAATTCTCAGATATTTTATAATATGGCATAAAATTATTATTTTCTAACAAAAAGTTGTTAAATATTGATGGTTTAGTGGGGAGTGAATGGTGTGGGTCGCCAGTCACAACAAAGTGGCTCAGCTGCTCCTGTTTTGGCGCGCCGTATCTGCTGTCATGGCGTCACACGCCGCTGAGGCTGATGCTAAGCCCTCCACCCCGGGGAAGCTCTCCTTGGAAGATGTCAGGTGTCCCATATGTCTAGACATCCTGATGGAGCCGGTGACGATGCCGTGTCGACACTCTGTGTGTATGCCGTGCTTCAACCAGCACGTCGCCCACTCCGCCCTCGCCTGCCCTATATGTCGCAGACGGTAAGGACTCTCACACCTTAGGGGCTATTCATGCCCGTGCCACCTCTTGGGTGGCTCAATCTTCATCAATCAATCAATCAATCAGCCTCCACACCCACCCAACCCTCTCGTCGTCCTGGTTCACCCTTGATGACGAGCGGACGTCTGGACGCCTCCTCCTCCACCTGGGAGCCGCTGGATCCCCTCCTGTTTGGTGATATTGGATTATGATACTGATGTTTGGCGTCCCTCATGAAGGGTCCGGAGTGTTATGACGCCTGGCGTGCACATTGCCTTGGGTCACAGGATAGTTGATAGATTCAGAAAGTTTTCTGGCTGGTTCTCCTGGCGGGGTGATGGTGTCAAGCACCAGCTTGGCTTGCCGGGAGTTGGTGGGACCCAGGTGGGCCCTCAGCCGTGGTGGGCGGTGGTTTCTACTCTGCCAGGGGGCACTGGAGGACTTTTTTTTACGTTTTACTTGGGGGGCCAAATTTTTGGTGTTGCTCCCCAGTGTCACTTTGCTTTGTCATTTGCTTTGCCCAGGATTAAATACTGACAAGTCTAGCCTGCGTGGCCCCCTTTTGATAATTACTTACTACGGAGGTAGTTTGTGGCGATTGCAGTAATGAATGCTATGCTACGTATAATTGGGAAGGCCCGACTCTCCATCATTTTAAAACGGTTTAATATTTTAAGTTTTATCTGCTATGTCAAGTTTAATGACCTATATCTGCTGCATTTAAAGTCCTTGGATTATTTATATTAAGTGTGTTATAGACCCAGATATATTTATTTCACTTGCTGATAAAAAAGTTGGATTCAAAACCTGTGCTAGCGTTAAAATTATATCAGTCACGTCACACTCTTGAACACCTTATATAAAACTAAATTTTCCCTCATTTTTGTTCAGTTGGGTTGGTTTTGTTTAATTAGAGTAGTGATAATGTGCACTGGCCAAACTTTCCTCAGGTTTTAAACGACTCAAAGATCCTTTTTCATGCATTCTGATAATACAAAATGCAGTAATGCTGTATTCACTAGGATTGAACATACTGATCAGGTAATGGACAGAGTTTTCCATGAAAGTTTAATGGATACGGATCGCTTAGTATAGCAAATCATTTACATACGACTTAATGGGTGCTTCAAATTATTTTTGACGCTCCAGTATTTATTTTTGTTCCTCTCCAGATGTTCTTGAACAGGTTGTTCTGAGCAGCAGCTCAGGTATAACACCATCGCATATCAAACATTTCTGGCAGAGCTTGCTCCTATGTGTTACTCTGGATATGTCTGTTCTGCATATTGAACATAGAGCATTTTCCACATCATTCCTTGTGACTGGACGGTAGAGCGACGGTCTCGCTTCATGCAGGTCGGCATTCAATCCCCGACTGTCCAAATGGTTGGGCACCATTCCTTTACCCCCGTCCCGTCCCAAATCCCTATCCTAACCCCTTCCAAGTGCTGTATAGTTGTAATGGCTTGGTGCTTTTCCTTGATAATTTGCTCCCTCCCTCCTTTTACTCTTCTGGAACATGCATGTTATACTGATGTGGATTGGTTGTACGGTATTGGTTTCCTGTGTTCTCGGTTTAGTGTTGTTATTTTTACTTCAGTCAAAATATAATATATGCTTTTTTATATTTGTGGCGACCTTAAATGTAGTGGTTTGGCTAGTTAGCTCATAATTGAATTGTTCAAGGTACCCATGGTTCAGTTTCCAAGCAGGATAGACATTTGGGCATGCTTTTCTCTAGCAGCTGGTACCTGGGAGTTGGCAGCAGCCAGGTAGCAGTTGGCAGCAGCCAGGTAGCAGTGGGTACCTGAGAGTTGGCAGCAGCGAGGTAGCAGTTGGCAGCAGCCAGGTAGCAGTTGGTACCTGAGAGTTGGCAGCAGCCAGGTAGCAGTTGGTACCTGACAGTTGGCAGCAGCCAGGTAGCAGCTGGTACCTGACAGTTGGCAGCAGCCAGGGAAAGGTTAGGTGTTAGCCTTGAGGAATCTAAAGTAAGTCTAGCAGGCTTCCACTCCCTAAGAATGGGAAATTGTAAATGTATAGATAAGCTTAAAGCTCTAGTGCTGTTTGGCTGCCTTCCTCTCTATCTTGAGTCGTGTGACAGCTTGGACTGACACTGTTGGGTATCATTAACCCAGCTGGAAAAGTGAGATCCTGTAGCTAAGTCCCTTTCCCATTAATGAGCTGATGGTGATGTTTGAGGGAATCTCTGCTACGTCACAAGTGATTGTTAACGTTACCTGGTTATTGTTTGGTTCTGGCGAGAACCAGGCATTACCTGATGGAGCGGTTACCAGATAGATGTGTTGACCAGACCACTATCTGGTTAGATAGATAACCAGATAGTGCAGCCGAGTGGTCAGTTGAGAACGGCACTGTGCAGAAAGTTCATACCTTGATGCACAGATAGGCATTATAATGGACATATGGTATATTTGCAGACAATTTGTAATACATGTACCTGGTAGACCTGACACTTTCCTTATAGAAAAAACAAGGCTTGTTTTAACTCCCATGTTTGCTATTGTAGACAGATAGATATTTTTTATCCTTGCTTTTGCTTACTCAGTATGCAAAAAATTACAGACTAGCCGGAGCCGGTCGGCCGAGCGGACAGCACGCTGGACTTGTGATCCTGTGGTCCCGGGTTCGATCCCAGGCGCCGGCGAGAAACAATGGACAGAGTTTCTTTCACCCTATGCCCCTGTTACCTAGCAGTAAACTAGGTACCTGGGTGTTAGTCAGCTGTCACGGGCTGCTTCCTGGGGGTGGAGGCCTGGTCGAGGACCGGGCCGTGGGGACATTAAAGCCCCGAAATCATCTCAAGATAACCTCAAGAAATATGTCTGAAATCAATAATTTTCATTTTGTTAGATAATATAATTAAACGGATAATGCTCCAGATTTTAATGTACAGTAATTGAAAATGAGAAGTCTGTACTGTCAGAATTTGTAACCAGTTGTCTCAATTTTTCAGAATCAGTGTGTGGGTGCGTCGTGCTGCTAAAGCTAAGAAATTAATCAACACAAGACTGTGGCAGAATATTCAAAACAGTTTTGCTGCCAAGGTGGAAGCTCGTCTTCATGGATTAGAAGATTCAGATACTGAAGGTACACATGTTTGAGGATATTGTTCAGTTACTGGCTGCCCATATTGTTAAATGTTGTCTTAAAGTGAACGAAGTGGGTACTTTGAATGATAGTTTGTAGTTTATAGATACTGTAGTTTGAAATATTATAATTACCGTGCTTTTTCAGGAACAACCTATTCTCTCCCTCTTGCTGTAAGAAAATATTAAGATTGTATAACTCTGCTACACTTAAAGAAATGGGTGTTAGACTTGTCTTGAAAGATTAAACGCACCCAAAGGTTAGAACAAATATATTACTAATCACAAACAAAACAGTGCGTCAAATTCTTACAAAAGCTGTGCATGTGTACATGGAGAAACTTGTATTTGGTTAGATTTGCTTAAATACTTGTTTCTTATTAGTACATTTTATTTTTATATTGGATTTGGAGATACAAATAAATATGCTATTAATTTAATTTTCATACAATAGATCGTTTTGTATAAAATTTGGAAGGTGTTGATAATTTTTCATATTAACTGTACTGTATTTTTTAAATTTATGAAGTGTTGTGCTGCCTTGATTTGATTTTCACTTTTGATACACTACCGTCGCCAACCACGGAGTTCATAATATCTTGTGTGTGTTTTGCCAGACACACGATGCACACATGTTGTCCTGGGCGGGCCAGGCAGCGCGTTGTCCTGGGCGTGCCAGGCAGCGCATTGTCTTGGGCGGGCCAGGCAGCGCGTTGTCCTGGGCGGGCCAGGCAGCGCGTTGTCCTGGGCGGGCCAGGCAGCGCGTTGTCCTGGGCGGGCCAGGCAGCGCGTTGTCCTGGGCGGGCCAGGCAGCGCGTTGTCCTGGGCGGGCCAGGCAGCGCGTTGTCCTGGGCGGGCCAGGCCGCGCGTTGTCCTGGGCGGGCCAGGCAGCGCGTTGTCCTGGGCGGGCCAGGCAGCGCGTTGTCCTGGGCGGGCCAGGCAGCGCGTTGTCCTGGGCGGGCCAGGCAGCGCGTTGTCCTGGGCGGGCCAGGTAGGTCATTAGCAAACCACTTTTGTTTCCTTCTTAGTTTTCTTAAACCTATTGTCATTAAAATTCCTGCACTGCACAAAAAAAAATATTCCGAGTTATTTTTTCATTCAACATTAATCTACTTTACAGTGTTCCTTATAGGAAAAACTATTGGGTGCTCTAGCAGATTGTCACTCGAACATCTTTCTGGAATTTATTAAATTCCAGTACTGTATTAGTACCAAGGTAGCACTTGTACATTATCAGTAGTAAGTTCACTATCACATGAGTACCATAAAGTGAAGGAAATTAAGCAGACTGAATTAAACCTTATAATTTAGTATTTGACAGTCATCTTGATAATGAATAATGCAAATAATATATAGCAAACACTGCTAACAATGTATTAGTTAATCACCATAATGTATAAATAATTTACTTATATATAAGATCTCTAAATAAACATTATAATGGCATTAGTGCCTTACTGCTAGCACAACCAAAAATTCTCTTGGAATTTTAGCAACATTGCTTAAAGATGAATCGTCCCAACTGTTAAACATACCCGATGACGGAGCAAATCGTTAAGTGTAGACCAAGCCAGAGGTGGCGGTACTGCAGCCTATGACCATCAGGTATCACAACTAGACATACCTGTAGAGAATATATATTGTTCAAGTTTATAATAAAGGCTTGACACACAACAGTTGGAGCCATATACAGAAGCCCTAACATAAATGTACTGTAATTGTTTATCCTCAGAAATTTAATACAGTGGTACCTCAGCTTGCAAATTTAATCCATTCCCAGAGACAGTGCGTAAGCCAAAAATTCGTAAACTGAAGCGAATTTTCCCATAAGAAATAATGTAAATTGAATTGATCTGTTCCACACTCCCCAAAAATTAACTTCAAATAATTTTTTTGTCTAATTCACCCAAATCTTTAGTACTAAAATATGTACAAGTTATTGCTTACCTTTATTGATGACTCTTGTTGGTGTATGGAGGACAGTGAGGAGGAGGGGAAAGGAGAGGTGTTAGTGTTTGGAAGGGGAGTCCCCTTCCATTATAACATCAGGCAGTGAGGACTTCTGGCATGACATGAAGGGCTGGCTGGCTGAGTGGACAGCACTCTATACTCGTGGACCTAGGGAACGGGGTTTAATCCCGGCAGACGGCGAGAAACAAATGGGCAGAGTTTCTTTCACTCTGATGCCCCTGTTACTTAGCAGTAAATAGGTACCTGGGAGTAAGACAGCTGCTACAGGCTGCTTCCTGGGGGCATGTGTGTGTGTGTGTGTGTGTGTAAAAAAAAAAAAAAATTTAGTAGTTGGTAACAGTTGATTGACAGTTGAGAGGCAGGCTGAAACAGCAGAACTCAACCCCCGCAAGCACAACTAGGTAAATACTAGGTGAAAGCTTCTTTGGGGTACTCTGGCACGTTTTGCCTGCATACCACTAGGACCTGCTTGTGGCTCACTCCTTGATTTTGTCATTAAAAATCTATCCATAGAGGATTGTTTTCCCTACGTTGTAACACTTGTCTGTAGTGAGGCATCACATTGTCATTAAAAAAGTTTAGGCAACAGCCTGCTACAGCTTGCTCTGAGCAAGTCGTTTCAACAAAAGTTTGCATTTCTTCCTGCAGTTTACACCACTTCCTAATTGTTGAGGAAGGGACATTCTGTACTGACTCCTCTCCTGAAAAAATTTCCTCGGGTACCTCTTGTCAACAACCCGTGTACCATTTTCATGTTTACGAATGATCTCTTGTTTTTCCTCTATGGTCATTCTCACATGTGTTTCCTTGGTTTGAACCTTACCACTGGCTTTCTTGGGACCCATGGCGAGATATATAATAATAACTTTTATGTTCAATTACCCCAAAATCAGAAAAACACTGAAATTCTTTACAAAGAATTCGGGCATGATTGTCGGTAGGTGGAAGGCACTGGTAAACTGAGGTGCGGTCTCCATACCACCACGAGCTAGGTCAGCCATACGCGTATCAACAATCTTCGTTTCCCGAGACAAAGTTTGTAACCCGATTCGGATTTTACGAAGACATTGGGCTCGTAACCCGAAAAGTTTGTGAAGAGGGGCATTCGTAAACCGAGGTGTCACTGTAATTTGCAACACATTTGAAACAAATCACTCAATAATAGGAGGACATTTAAATACAGTACTATATTAACTTGTGCCAGTTAGATGGCTGACAAGTTTCTAACTTCCATAAGTGTATGAAATCTTGCATGCCATAATACCCATTATCAAAAGGCTACCAGAATTACTTGAATGTGTACCTCTACCCTTGAACACATGTGGACAAATATATCCTCTCCACATAACTGAGACTTCTACTCTACATTCCTCCAACCAACATTATCAAACCACTATTAGTAACTATGAAGATTAACTTCAGACTGCACAATAAAGCCCCATTAACAAAAGTTTTTAGGAAGAGAAGTGAGCTGAACATGTTAGCATGGAAAACATTAAAGTGAGGGGGGTCCAAGTCCTTCATAAAATACAGCTAACAAATTACAAAGAATTAATTAATAACAAATACAAAAACAAATTAAAAGGCTTTTGACAGAGTTCCACATAAGAGGTTGTTCTGGAAACTGGAACATATTGGAAGAGTGACAGGTAAGCTTCTAACAAGGATGAAAAATTTTCCGACAGAAAAATGAGGGCAGTAATCAGAGGCAATGTATCGGACTGGAGAAATGTCACAAGTGGAGTACCACAGGGTTCAGTTCTTGCACCGGTAATGTTCATTGTCTAAAACAATCTACCAGATGGAATACAGAATTATATGAACATGTTTGCTGATGATCCTAAGATAATAGGGAAGATAAGAAACTCGTACGATTGTCATGCCCTTCAAGAAGACCTGGACACAATAAGTGCATGGAGTACCACTTGGCAAATGGAATTTAATGTGAATAAATGCCATGTTATGGAATGTAGAATAGAACATAGACCCCACACAACCTATAAATTATGTGAGGAATCTTTAAAGAATTCTGATAAAGAAAGAGATCTAGAGAGTTCCATTCACATGGGCTGTAGAAGACTCGAACCACAGACGCCACGCCTGTGAGGCAGAAACACCATCCACTCAGCCGAGAGTAATCTTAATAAGGAAGTTACCAGAAGCAACATCCTGCTGCCAAACTGGAGTTTTCAACTTTGCCCTGACTACTACTGAAGCTTAGAGGAGTTAGTGATCCACACCCTCGTCATCTATAGTGTTATCCACACTTGCCTGGAAATAAATCTAGGAAATAAAGTAAGTTCTAGATAGAAAACTGTCACCCGAGGACCGCATAAAGAACATCGTGCGATGAGCCAATGTTACATTTTCTAACAAATTTGCTTTTTAAATACATGGATGGTGTAAATACATACTAAAGAAATTGTTCACATCTTTTGTTAGACCAAAGCTGGAATATGCAGCGGTTGTATGGTGCCCATATCTTAAGGAGCACATCAACAAACTAGAAAAGGTGCAGACATGCAACTAAATGGCTCCTGTAGTTGTAAGACAAGAGCTATGATGAGAGGTTAGAGGCATTAAATATGCCATAACTAGAAGATAGAAGAAAAAGAGGTGATATGATCACTACATACAAAATAGTAACAGGAATCGCTAAAATTGATAGGGAAGACTTCTTGAGACCTGGAACATCAAGAACAAGAGGTCATAGATTTGAACTAACTAAAGAAAGCTGCTGAAGAAATATAAGAAAATTCACTTTCGCAAACACAGTGGTAAACGGTTGGAACAAGTTAGGCGAGAAGGTGGTGGAGGCCAAAACCGTCAGTAGTTTCAAAGCGTTATACGACAAAGAGTACTGGGAAGACGGGACACCATGAGTGTAGGTCTCATCCTTAACTACACTTAGGTAATTACAAGCATGACTGTGATAATAGATACAGGATTTTTTTTCTAATTAAATAAGTGGTATTTTGCATTACATTGGCAATTAAGAGCTTAAACTACAGTACAGTACTTTAATAGAATGTATGACTACTTGTTGAAAATGTATGCTGTGATATTAATATAATAATTAACATTATTTATAAGAGTCAAATTATAAATATACAATACAGTAATTCTGCCTTTTATCCAGGTTTTTCAGTTTAGTAATTTTTTCTTCCAGAAATAAATGTTCCGGTGCATCATTTGAGTGCTCCAGGGGAGATTCGTCAAGAATATGAAACCCTGTTGGCTCAAGAACATCGCGATGAAATTGAAAGAAGAACCGAGGAAGAATGGGCTTCAAATAAACTCATTCAAGAACTGCAGGTAGGAAGCCATTTTATATTTGCATAAATAATTGCCTACTCTCATTCCCAATTGTTTAATGGTTTGTTGTGTGTACTTTTGATACTTGTCCTCGTACAGTGTAAATTCGTTGTGTGGTAATTGGGTTACTGTATTGTATTTATATTCTCTATGAACTGGTCTGTGTTTAAAACTGTGGCATGTTTCTATATGACAAATGAATTAAGAAGAAACTGGGTACACACACACAAATCACAAATAGCATGATATATCGAATGAACAAATCCACAAGTTGACTAAATTGACTTAAGTTGAGAGTTGACTAAGGCGGGTCTGGGAACATCCCGTGTGCAAGTTTGAACCCTCATCATTGCCCTTGTGGATTTGTTCAAGACACTGGGGCTCTGTATGCTAGACATGCTTTAATCTGTTGTTTTCTTCTGGAAACACTTAGTTTGGTGTATATATATTTTTGCTTTTAAATTGTATAATACTGTGCTATAATTAGTAAATATTAGATAAATTGCCTATACAGTAGGTTATTTTGTCATCGTCATAAGATTTGAAATATGAAATTTTTTCATTAGGTATTAAACCAGTTGTAAATTTAGATCTGTTTAAGTACTCACCTAGTTGTGCTTGCGGGGCTCGAGCTTTGTCTCTTTGGTCCCGTGGGTATGGAATGTGTGTGGGTATGAAAGTATGGAATGATTGATTCATAATTCTAGAGCTTGGCTTTGTGCCCAGTTGCCATAATTTCTTCCTACTAAACTAGTTTCTTAAAGTACTTTATACATTCTGCAAAGGTAATTTAGCAGTTTTATTCTTGTTGCCCAGTTAGTCTGTTATTGCCATTAATCTCTCACCAATGTAAGTGTTGCTTCTCTATGGCAGCTCAGTATACTTATACTAGGAATAAAGTTTTAATAGTTGTAACATTAGCCTGGTAATTAAGTTAACATTTGTGCAAGGTTGTGTGTGACAATTTGTGCGTCATTGACAGAATAGTGAAAAAATGCGTCTTCGGGAAAGACGGAAAGAGCAGGAACTGTTGGCAGAGAACGACATTGCTGTGGCTCAGCACATCAAGGTAACACTCAATTATAATGTTTACAATCAGTACAGAGAGAATAGTAGTGGTTATTTTCTTCCTATTGATTTTGTTGAAAAATTCTATAATGTGCGCTTTTTATTTATCAGGAAACAGAAATGATGCTTTTAGAAGAACGGCTGAAGCAGTTCCAACAATTGTGTGCCAATGATGAAGCGCTTGCTCGCCACATTGAGGTATAATAGTGTTGAGTTAGGAGAGAGGTGACCAGTTAATATGGAGTAAATTGCTTCACCATTTATGTATAGTAAATATTTTTGAACGAAATGATGTTTTGTTTGATAATGATTTCACTAAAATAGTCTATAAGGTAATGAAAGAGAAATTGGGGAGGGAGGGTACAGTTAGGAAGTGGTCAGCAAGAAATTTTAAGTTGAAAATGACGTGTATGATTCCTTAGACGATTGCATGATAATCCTCGAACTTCATGTTAATTTTGTTCAGACTTTGTGCTCATAGGGGGAATTTTTTTTTTTTTCCTGTAGTGTAGACAGACATGCAGGATCCATGTAGTGTACAAAAATAGTTCTACATATGTGGTGGTCTACATATCTTGTGGCCCCCCCCCCCCAAAGTAGCTCTTCGTTTCTGCCCCATTGTTCCCATCTTCCCTGTGGTGTTTGTGCAACCCGTTCTCGCAAATTTAATAAGTCGATATTGACTTATTAAATATGTGCATAGGTGACATACTAAACATAATAGATACCCTTAAAAAGATTCATAGAAAACACCGACCTTACCTAACCTTGTTAGTATCTTAAGATAAGCATCTTATTGCTTCGTAATTACAATTATTACCTAACCTATAATAGGTATAGGTTAAGTAATAATTGTAATTACGAAGCAATAAGATGCTTATCTTAACCCTTACACTGCTCAGGGGTCATATGGACATTTACACCCCTGTGCGCAAGAAAAAAAAAAATTCAAAAATTTTTTTTCGTCTTCTAAACATGTTAATTTGTGTCCCCTGAGCACGGAAAAAATAAAAAAAAAATCGTAGGTGACATATTTTGGGCGCAATTGACCGAGGAAGTCTGGCAAAAAGTGGGCGTTGACAGAGCGGTCGTCAGACCCGGTCAGCGTCACCCGCGTTGACAGATGGGAGTTGCCACAAAGATATTATTACCTAATTGTTTCAATGTCTCCGATTGATTTTTTCTTAGTTTTTTTGCAGTAATATTATTCAATAGTGTGTATTGTAATATATTTATATAATAAAAGTGGTTAATAATCGCTATACTCAAAAGTATGATGTGCGTATTAGTGATTCAATTATTATGTTTATAAAACAATAAACAAATAGTTTTGCTGCTATTACACTCTATACACAGGTTATATATAAGTATTGGCATGTTTTGGTCACCATAACGAACCACTAAGTTGGTATTGAGAGTCGAAAAGCAACGAGGAGTTACCGCCACACACCAGCCAGCCACTCACTGCCACTCCCTCAACACACGCACTAAACTTTCTCCCCCAACAATACCAGTTGTGGTGTTATTACACTATATACAGACGTTATATATAAGTATGAGTATATTTTGTTCACCACAACTGTACAGCTAAGCTGATATAGTTAGTTCAGGCACTAAGAGTCGTCGCTATACACAGATGGCGGCTGGCGGCTCCCTCACTCTTTCAAGGTCACACGCACTGAACTTTCTCCCCCAACAATACCAGTTGTGGTGTTATTACACTATATACAGACGTTATATATAAATATCTACATGTTTTATGCACCGTAACTGTACACCTAAGCTTGTAGAGCGCCCAAAGAGCATAGTGGCCACCCTCTAAACAGCTAGAGAAATCGTGCAGACGACGTCACCTCCGTCACCCATATGGCTCCTCCCAGCATAATCCTTTTGCTGTTATTACACTAATACACACATTATATATAAGTATCTACATTTGTGTTCACCATAGAGAACCACTGACCTAGTATGGTGAACGCAAACAATAACAGGTGGCCACACAGTCAGTAAACGATGCTGTCTCCCTCCGTCTCTCAGCATCACTCCTCACACAGCGCTAATTATTACAACAATCCTGCTATTATCACAACCCTGGTTATTTATATCACAGTCATTGGTCATCTGTAATATTGTCATCGCTAAATAATAACAATTATATATTTATTTTGACATTTTTCGGCGATGCTGTGGGCACAAGCTGAACATCAATGCTGTTCGCTCATGCTGCGTGCGCCGGCCTTGGTTGCTCCAACAGTACTGTGCCTCTCACACCTGAGAATATTGCCCACGATTTTTTTTTAAAATGGCATCTGTTTACAAGAGCCCTGAGGAAGCTACTGTGAACCCCGTGTAGCCGCGGGCCATTTGAATCAGGCCTGGCACCCTATGGCGTATATATACGCCATGCGCACCATGGGACATGTTACTCAGGGCGTATATATACGCCATGCGCAGTTTAAGGGTTAAGATACTAACAAGGTTAGGTAAGGTCGGTGTTTTCTATGAATCTTTTTAAGGGCATCTATTATGTTTAGTATATCACCTATGCACGTAGTTAATAAGTCAATATTGACTTTACGAATTTGCGAGAAGGGGTTGGTTTGTGGGTGATCGGCCAGTTTGTTAGTGAAGAGCATGGCTGGCTGGGGTCCTGAGGTGACTTGACCTGTCACCTGGTGGAGGTGAGGAGAGTTGGAGTTGGTGTCTTTTTGTCCAGTGCAAATCTCTATCTATGTATTTGCTTTTATTCTTAACCCATTAGCTATGAAAGTTTTCTCCAGGTGAGGGCACAGTGAAAGTTAGAGATCATATGAGAAAGAGGAAATGTAAGAAAATGCAGTACAATAATAGTGGTAAAAAAAAAGTTGACTGCACTTCACCCAGAATTGTTGGAAATTACCTCTATTAAAAATAAATACCTAAAAATGATGAAAGTGTAGTGGAATGTTAGGAGGCTTCTTGAGTTATCTTGAGATGATTTCGGGGATTTTTTTAGTGTCCCCGCGGCCCGGTCCTCGACCAGGCCTCCACCCCCAGGAAGCAGCCCGTGACAGCTGACTAACACCCAGGTACCTATTTTACTGCTAGGTAACAGGGGCATAGGGTGAAAGAAACTCTGCCCAATGTTTCTCGCCGGTGCCTGGGATCTAACCCAGGATCACAGGATCACAAGTCCAGCGTGCTGTCCGCTCGGCCGACCGGCTCCCCCAAGGCATAAATGCGCTTGAAACATTGGCCGAGGCGAGACTTTTGAGTCTGATGTTTGTGTTCCCACAACAAGTTAAGCACTCATTTAACCACTCTGTGTCTTGAGATATGCTGCCACTTATACACTACAACTCTTGCTCTCATGTGATTGAATCATACAGTACTTGGTTGTAGTGTACATTTCTAAATTATATATAGTGTTTCCTTTTAGATACTGTAACCGTATCACAAACATAATTCATTTATTGGCAGGAAGCGGAACAAAAGGAGCGGCAGAGACGATTAAAGCCAGTTGGAAAAGGCCTGGCCACTAATCCCAAGAAGCCTGCTACACCCCCTCGCGGTCCTATGGATGTTTACATTGGCAAGTATTTTTATTTTATTTAAATTTGAAATGTATGGCGATACCTAATAAAGCTGGGCTATATTAATCCAAAACTGGTCTGAATTAGATAGGAATCTAAATTTCAAGGATTATAATTGGACATTTTAAGCTAATAATAGCCAAAGTAGATTATTAAAGCTAATAATTGCCAATTTTGGGGGATTATAAAAATACATTGTCAGATACTGATACTTAGTCGCAATTGTGTTATAACTATGCTGCTCGTTCGAAACCCCTCATACCCCCAACCCCTCTTGTAAAGCCACTAGTACGCACAGCGTTTCGGGCAGGCAATAATTTCATGGCAGGTACAGTACTTGTGTTTTTGTTTATAAAGCCACTAATGACATACAGTATAGTTTTGTGCAGTACTTCAACATTTTGAAGTTTGAGCCTCAAAATTATTTCATTCTTTACCTCCAAAAAACTTCCTCCTCTTGCTCTTTTCATAAAGAGAAACAGTCCAGGTGCCAACAACGTGCTTGTGTGCAAGCGTTCTTGGTTGCCAGCCATGATCATTTATATCAGTATAGTGGTACTGTTCACGTTAAAATGCCTCTTGCAGACAATGTCATAATAACGTGACTGAAAATAAAGAACGCAACCATCACATGAAACCAGTGACAAGAAGACACATTTAGCTGGACATCTCCTACTGGCAGACATCTTTTCTACTTTGAAATATTGAAATACTGTATAAAAAAAATTGTGAACAAGTGAACAGATAAGGGAAGCTCACCTGGTCGTGATGCCTTCACTGGTGGAGAGACGTGTCCGTACACCAAAAGAAAGGTTGCTGTATAAGCTGGGCTATACAATTCGAAGCACAGCACGAGCACGGTTAAACATTAACAAATTAAGCATTTCAGGCTAAATTTAAAAGAATACTCTAATAAAAATAGTGAAATGCTGTACTTTGATCATTTATAAATTCTTGTATTGCACTGTACAGAGTAATCATGATTATTGGCAATTGTCTCTGTGAATCCAGGTCCAGTTTTGATTGTGGAGACCTGAGCTATTGGCAAAATTTGATTGCTATTTGGAGGTTTGGATTTTAGAGGTTGTACTATTGCCGTGTGAAAGAATCTTTAACAATATAAATTGTTTGGGAGTACAATGTTTGTGGGGTTTTTGCCATTTTTACTTTTAGTATTAGATTTTGTGTATTGAGCATTAACATGTAGAAAACTCTACAGGTCAGAAGACGCCTCGATTCTATGGCAAATTAATTGTTCCCGAAGTGCCCTGCTCAACACCTGATGGCAGTTTAACCACATCTGGTATGTTTTAATGTTGAAAACATTTTGGTGTTGACGCCTTATTTGTAAAATCTCAAATGGAATGCATTAGGCAGTGATGTGGTTGAGGCTGACTATACATACAGCTTCAAATGTAGATATGATAGAGCCCAATAGCCTCGGGAATCTGTACACCAGTTGATTGACGGTTGAGAGGCGAGACCAAAGAGCCAAAGCTCAACCCCCCGCAAGTACAACTAGGTGAGTACTGAAGTGAGCACTGCAAGTTTTTTACCAGCACATTATGATCATAAAATTGGGTGATGATAATCATTACAGCATCGGTCCACCTGTTTAGTGTGGTTGGGATACTTAAAATTATTCCTCTAGAAGGCTGATTAGCATCCTCCCAAATTAGACCTTATGCTACGTTAACAAATTGATGCACTTTTGTTGTTGTGAACACTGCATGGTCTTGATTTTGCATTAAGCCTGGCAAAATGAATAGATGCCATACAGTGCAACCTCTGTTATCTGGCCTTTGGTGTCTAGAAACTGAAAATCCAGATTGTTAAAAAAAAATTGATATAATTTGACTTAGGTTTGGCTGCTGTGAGGGGGCTTGAGGCATCTCTGTGCATTAACACTGCTTAACTTGTAATTTTTCCCAGGTCTCAAATATATATTCTCATGTTAATTAGCATCAGTTTATCAAATCTTTCACTTCAAGATGAGAGCATGGATGATCTTATTTATCCCAGAATATTGTTGAAAACTTTATCAAGTAGGTAGCATTTTGCAAGTGTCAACCAACACAGTTGCTCGCTTATTATGTATGATACAAATTTGTTGCTATTTATTGCTCCTGGCATTAGAGAACTTTTCCTGGGAGCCCCTTGTGGCTCCTTGAAGCTGAAGCTACCATCACCGATGTAGGTGCCATCAGTCGCAGAGTTTTCTGGCCTATCGGAGACCCAGAGCCAGAACCTGGTGCCCTCACAGAGGTGCAGGGACAAGTGGCATTGATATATTAAGTTATTCATTTATACAGTACCACCACCGAGAAAGTGGTGGTACTTTAGCAGTCTCCGTGGTGTAGTGGTAAGACACTCGCCTGGCGTTCCGCGAGCGCTATGTCATGGGTTCGTATCCTGGCCGGGGAGGATTTACTGGGCGCAATTCCTTAACTGTAGCCTCTGTTTAACGCAACAGTAAAATGTGTACTTGGATGAAAAAACGATTCTTCGCGGCAGGGGATCGTATTCCAGGGACCATAGGATTAAGGACTTGCCCGAAACGCTACGCGTACTAGTGGCTGTACAAGAATGTAACAACTCTTGTATATATCTCAAAAAAAAAGAAAAAAAAGAAAGGCACCCAGACAGTCAGTGAGCCAAAACAAACCACAGCCTGCTGCCTCCGAGACCTGGAGGCTTGAAAATGGCCTCCAAACCATTTGGAGGCCATTGGAAAATGGCCGTGGAAAATGTCCCCAAACTGTGTAAACAAAGGATAAAAAATGTTACAAGCTAGTGCTTGCTCATTTGCCCCACCCTATCCCTTGTTTGGGGGGGAGGAGAGGGCCAGGTCATATAATTATTAATAACCATAATTACATTTGTATAAAAACTGGGCATAAAATCCACATAGGTGATAACCTCATTACCCTGAAGATCATTATTCATATATCAATAAGGATGACTCTTTCTTGTAAGGCATGTTGAGTGATGCTAAAGTATGGTAGATAAGTTGTATTAATGTGTGATACATACTTTAGATTCTTATTGACCTGTGTATACCATGTGACTATACCTGTGTATACCATGTGACTATACCTGTGTATACCATGTGACTATACCTGTGTATACCATGTGACTATACCTGTGTATACCATGTGACTATACCTGTGTATACCATGTGACTATACCTGTGTATACCATGTGACTATACCTGTGTATACCATGTGACTATACCTGTGTATACCATGTGACTATACCTATGTATACCATGTGACTATACCTGTGTATACCATGTGACTATACCTGTGTATACCATGTGACTATACCTGTGTATACCATGTGACTATACCTGGACTATACCTGTATATACCACATGACTATACCTAGACATCTACTGTATCCTCATTTTAAATCTTTCAGACAAAATTAAAACTAGTGTGAAGATAAGCCAAGATTTCAATACTCCTTCCACATCCATGTCAAGGCCTGGGAATTCCTCCACTAGTTCATCTAAGTCAGACACCATGTGCATAGTTCCAAATAGTGCATCAGATAGTTTGGACTGCAGAATGGGAAGAGAGTTGCGGGAAATAACTTCTTCTCAGAGCTCAGAGTCTGGTAAGTCTAAGATGTTCATGTGGTTTTTGTATGTGAAATCATACTCCTTAGATGAATATTTATGCACTAGGTAATATTGTGTATTCCAGATGCACTACGCTCCATTACATCTTTTATTTACTTCAACTAATACAACGCCACGCAAAAAAATTTTCTTTATGCTGTCCCTGTACTGTATATATTTCAGTGACGCTCAATTTCTGGAAGTTTTACCATCGTGGCTTATGTCTCCTGGACCAGTACTACTTCAACATTTTGTTCTGTCTAGTTAGGCTGACCTTCTAGTTGACCAGGTTGAGCTCACTGATGTAAATCCAACTTATTTAAGCATTAGGTGTCCAGATGGATAATGATCTGCGACAGCAGTCGCCAACCGGTGGTCCGTGAGACAGTTTTATTTTGTGTATTGAATGTAACTGTGTATTTTCTTTAACCGTTATATTTAATGGTAACAAATAGTTTGACTTTAATAACTATCATTTCTTGTTTGGTGGACTGCGGCATTCACATTAGTGGTCCACGGGATTTAAAATTATGACTTTGGTAATCCGTGAGCTCTGAAAGGTTGGCAGCCGCTAATTTACAGTATTTATCTGTGATTTGGTTCCGTGTCCAACGAGTCTGACAACTCTCACGAGGTAACACGTTGGGTCTGATCACAGGATTGGGAGAAAGAGGTAGGGGGAGGTGAATAGTACAATGGAAGGAAGTAAGGTTAGTTTGAGAGTTTAAAAAGAAATCACTCGACATACAGGAGAGAAAGTTTAGATTTAAAGGATATAGTTCTCAAGATGACAAGCAGTGGAAATGAGTTTGAGGAAGTCTTTGCAGTCTCCGTGGTGTAGTGGTAAGACACTCGCCTGGTGTTCCGCGAGCGCTATGTCATGGGTTCGTATCCTGGCCGGGGAGGATTTACTGGGCACAATTCCTTAACTGTAGCCTCTGTTTAACGCAACAGTAAAATGTGTACTTGGATGAAAAAACGATTCTTCGCGGCAGGGGATCGTATTCCAGGGACCTGCCCGAAACGCTACGCGTACTAGTGGCTGTACAAGAATGTAACAACTCTTGTATATATCTCAAAAAAAAAAAAAAAAAAAAAAAAAAAAAAAGTATGTGAAGGAAAGGGGTTGGGGGGGGGGGGGATTAAAATGTGTAGTGAATCAAGTGCAATTTACTGTAGTAGTATGTAGATGTTAGTAAGTTAAATTGTTTGACATGATGGGTGAAATTAGGGAAACGTAGTAGAGGTAGAGAATGATTATCTTTGAATTGAAGACTGGAGATATGAAAAGATAGGAAAGAAATGGGAGGTGCCAGAGTTTGGAAGAGTGAAGGATTTAGAGGTGATCGCCACCTGGAGAAATGGCTGTGGCCACCCAATCCCCCTCCCCCCCTAATGGACATTCCAAAAAGTGAGTGCGGTACAGATGCTACGGTCTCATCCAGCCATCATTACAACATTCATTCTTTCCTGAACTCTGTTGATCCTCTCTCTTTGTAGATTTGGAGATTGAATTTGAAGCTACCCAAAGTTGTTTTAATACCTACTGCAACACCTGAGAGTGCAGCATTGTGTCAGGCCGTGTGGAAGTCAAATTGAGCCAGACAAACGTTGATGTGGTACCCGCCGGGCTGTTTTGATGCACAACGCATCTTGTTGCTCTCATGTTTACCTCAGCCCCCCTCCAGCCCCTACACCCCCCTTTCAGCCCTCTCCCCTTCCATCCAGCCCCCCCCTCCAGCCCCTTCCCTCCCCTTCCCTCCAGCCCCCTCTCCTCCACCTTTATCCCCCTTTCCACTTCCTACCCCCCCCCTACCCCCCCTTCCACCCCTACCCCCCTTTCCACCCCCTAACCCCCCTTCCACCCCCTAACCCCCCCTTCCACCCCCTAACCCCCCCTTCCACCCCTAACCCCCCCCCTTCCACCCCTAACCCCCCCCTTCCACCCCTAACCCCCCCTTCCACCCCTAACCCCCCCTTCCACCCCTAACCCCCCCCTTCCACCCCTAACCCCCCCCTTCCACCCCTAACCCCCCTTCCACCCCTAACCCCCCCTTTCCACCCCTAACCCCCCCCCTTCCACCCCTAACCCCCCCTTCCACCCCTACCCCCCCTTCAGCCCCCCTCCCTTCTCCACTCCCTTCCACCCCTACCCCCCCTTCAGCCCCCCTCCCTTCTCCACTCCCCTCCACCCCCCTTCCCACCAGCCCTCTCCTGCCCCTCCCCCCTTCAGCCCTTTACCTCCTTCCTTCCAGCCCCTTCCCCCCCTTCTCAGCCCCCCCTCCCCCCACTCCAGCCCCCTCTCCCTCCCCAACAGTCCCCTTCAGCCGCCTCCCCCGGTCTGTAGAATTACCCAAATCTACCCAAAATTACCCAAATCCTGCTGGCATTACATAAGTAATGAAGAAATATGGTATATTTACTCACTATAATGTTGGTGCCAAATGTAGAACATGATCAAACCTATTTTTACTCTGAAATAATCTAATTTCACGACGAAATTAGCAGTAAATACGTAGCAGGTGAGGCCATAGGAAGTTGACGGTCCAAGCGACAATGTTGTGGAGCGACTTATCCAAGATATATGGGTTATATATATATGGGTTAATGGATTTGAAAGTTGCCTCTAAAATTACCTAACCCAAACTAACCTTACCTAACTCAAACTAACCTTGCCTAGGCCAAACTAACCTTACCTAAATTTGCGACAGTTTGAGCCAAGAAGTGTGACGACTGGATCACTGTATACAGGAGGCTGTATACAGTGATGGAAAAAAAAAAAAAGGCCTGGTCGAGGACTGGGCTGCGGGGACGCTAAGCCCGAAATCATCTCGAGATAACCTCAAGATAAGGCTGATAAGCCAGCAAATACTCTCCAGGCGACCATATATCTGGATAAGTCGCTCCACAACATTGTCGCTTGGACCGTCGACTTCCTATGGCGTCACCTGCTACGTATTTACTTATAATTTTGTTATGAAATTAGATTATTTCAGAGTAAAAATAGGTTTGATCATTTTCTGCATTCAGCGCCAACATTATAGTGAGTAAATATTCCATATTTCTTCATTACTTACATAATACTAGCAGGATTTGGGTAAATTTGGGTAATTCTATAGACCGCCTCTGCCATCCAGCCCCTCTCCCCCCCCTATCCAGCCCCCTCCCCCCTATCCAGCACCCTCCCCCCCCTATCCAGCACCCTCCCCCCCCTATCCAGCCCCCTCCCCCCCTATCCAGCCCCCTCCCCCCCTATCCAGCCCCCTCCCCCCATATCCAGCCCCCTCCCCCCTATCCAGCCCCCTCCCCCCTATCCAGCCCCCTCCCCCCTATCCAGCCCCCTCCCCCCTCTCTAGCCCCCCCTTCCCCCTCCCCCCTCCAGCCCCCCACCAGCCCCCCACCAGCCCCCCTCCAGCCCCCCTCCAGCCCTGTCCCCCCCTCTCCAGCCCCCTCCCCCCCTCTCCAGTCCCCTCCCCCTTCCCTCTCCCCCCTCCAGCCCCTGCCCCAAATCCTTCACCGTTCTGTTGTGTACAGCAGACAATATGTTTTTTCCACCGTGACGCATGACAAATCCTGAGTGATCTTTGGAATTCATTGTGATAGGTATTTTATTGAAAGAAAAGTAGAAGAAATACAAAAATTCTGAGGTCTGCAACCTAATTTATCTTTGCATGTTAAATATGTTCTCTGAATGTTGAAGAGGCACAGAAACCTTGAGCAGACAGTGGAGTGTTCCAAGTCAAAGTGACCTATATTATTTCTTGCTGCATATCTGCATAACGCAACACTAAATTACTTTAATTATTTTAATGATTTTGCTTATTTGCATTCTTTTCCAGAACCGGAAGATTTAGTCTCGCCTTCACAGACGAACATTCTGCGTCGGCCAGTCACGTCGGGCAAGGAAAATATGCAAGAAAGAAGAAAGAATAGTCCTTGTAAATTAGGAAAAGGAAAGGGGACATTCAGTGCTAACAGAAGAAACCAAAATGATCAGTACAGCCCAGACATTGATAGTTATAGTGGAGTCATTGGAGTTACAGACAATGGTATTCATATTTCCAGAAAAGTTGAAAATGGTGAAGACGTTGATATTGAAGAATTTATTTGTGCACAGACTCCAACCAAAACAAAGGAGAGAAATAATGTAAAAGTATGTAAAGGCCTGGTGAGAGGGGACCACAACTCAAAGAGCTGTGCTTCCGAAACTGGTGGTAGTGATGACGAACAGATTGTGACGGCAAGTGAAGCGCACGACATTCCACAGTGTAATCAGAGTTCCGAGTTGGACCCGCAAACTGATCTGACGTCGATATTTAGTGACCGGGAAGGCACATCGGTAAGTGGTGACACAACTGTACCTAGTTGTAGTCATTAATGCAAGTTATGTTGTATTTTAAATTGTCAAAAGTGGAATTGGAATGGTAGAATTAATTGTGGGACAGTAGAGTACTGCTGAAATTGTGCATTGATGTGCAAAATCTTAGTTTTTGGGAAAGATCATACAGTGTGTGCTTTCTTGACATCACATGTTGAGACATTTCTTTTTTGGTAAATTTTTGTATCCATAGGGACACCATAAAACTGTTGCATGTTCTAATTAAACCTTGTATATATCATGATTTTGTTTCTAATTATTTTTCCATCCAGGATCCAGCACCAAAGTACCTTCACCTGACCTAGGTATAGATGGATCTTTTCAAACAGTTTGTAGGTTGAATATTGTGGGGTTGGCACTCATACATGGCACTTGTCACTAAAGTGCATCTGCTCTGTAGTTCTCCCTCCACTTATTTTGAGTATGATGGTTGGTTTGGTCTTCTATTTTTCGCGATAGCTTGGTATCGCTCATAAATGTTAAATTAACTTGGTATATTTTAAAGTAAATTATTAATACAGTATGTTAATTATTAATTCAACAATGTTAGGTACAATATTAAACTCAATATGACCGTGCCCTCAACTCTGAGGCTACATTTCTAAATTTCATAGTTTATAAAGAAGGGTAAAATACAATTAACATAAGCTGTGTTAATGTAGAGTAAAAGCCTGGCCGGTGTAGACTTGTGGGTTTACCTCGCACATGGCGGAGGTAAAGGTCACTCCACGGTGACCTCTTGTAACTGACCTTGGAGATCGTGTTCCTCCTTGCTCTCCTACCCTGTGGCACCGGTGCCTCGGACATTCTCCACACGTTCCCTATGCACCTTCAAATTCCTGATTATATCTTTCTGGATTTGAGCAGCACTTCAGATGTAATAGTTGGTTTTGTTCCAGCATTTCAGTCCCAAATACCATGCATGGTGATTATTTGGGTTGCTCCTGGTGCTGCTCTAGGGCACTGGTATGCTGTATCCTTATCAGGTTGTGCCATTGTTATCTTTCTGGCAATGGCTGTTGCCCCTCTGCCTTTTTGACAAGGACTAGTAATATGGAGTGGGATAGGTTCCTCTATTAGTTTCATGTTTTTCTTTATAGATCTCTGGCCTTCTTGCAATTTCTGCTGAACCAGTCATGTTTTCCAGTTCTACATCTGTGCTTATAAATATTTTAAGTACCATTGTTCTAATTGCAGAATTTTGCATACATTTAATTTACATCACCTAGTTACGAAGCTTCCCATCAAATACTTTAAAGAACATACTTAATTTTCCTTAATGTGCACTTTTTAAAGTAGTGTTTCTTATATCTCCTATTTTGCAATCCTTGTCATATTGAATGGTATATTTCATTTCCAGTAAGCCATGAGTGCTCTTTCCTAATGGGAGTTGGTAACTAAGTTAAAGCTGTCTCTCTCTTGACTGGTGAATATGAAATCCGTCTATGTCGGAACATCCCTGGCGTGTACTTTTGTGGTTTATTTAACCTGCTGATGTATGAATACCTCCAGAGTGAGATGAGTTGTACAGTCCATACTTCTTATCTTATTGTTCTGTGAGCCTCCCATTAAGGTGTTGGTCAGCCATTACCAACCCTCTTGCTTCGTCTGTGTTTGGTATTCCACTCTCGTGTCTTAGTGATGTCTTCCGGAAGGCTGTGCACATTTATAGTTCATTCAAGATTAATTATTCATTCCCTATTACAGTATGTAAATATTTATTCATTAAATAATATGTTAATGTGTAAGTGTATGCTGGTAGTAATTATTCAAGTGACTACTTTAGTTTTCTATAAATGGCCAATAATATTTTACCCATGTTGAAATGTCTTGGAAATATTGTGTGTGTGTGTCAATCCTCAAGGAAGGAGATGCTAGCAGGAACATGGAAATACTTTAAAAGATGCAAACTATAGATTTGTTTCAGTAATCCTGTTTATTAATTTTACAGCTAAGATGTTTTGAAATATAGCTTATGAAATATGTAATGCAATTGTTTTTTATTGATGTATGAATTAAAAATGGTTTTATGTATTCGTCGTCTTAGACGTACGGTGCTTGTTTGGTTGTAGAGAATACACAGTAGTTCACTTCAGTAGTTTATTGGGTAAAGGCAACGAGGTATAGATGCAGCCTGCCGAGGTCCTACCTAACCCTGGTCCTGTGAGATAATGAGGCCTGCCTCAAGAGCGGCCAGTGCCGGATCTGTGGAATATGAGGCCTACTCGCCTGTGATTGGCTATAACCCAACCGTCATACAGTTTGAGTACTTTCATAATTTGTATACTGTACACATGTAAGATTCTCAAATTAGCTCTTTGTATAGGAATCGCTGGAATCACTGATTGCCGAGCAACGTCAGTTGGAAGCCAGACTGGAACAGGAAGTGAAGGATCATCTGTTGGCAGAATCCTTGCAAAAAGAGTTTGACCAGCAACGACGAGTGGTTAGTTTTCCAGTTTCTTATAATTATGTTTTTTTATATCTATTGTGATCAGTTTCATAAAGTTTTTAATAAGTAGTCTAGCTGCATGTTGGAGTTTTAATAAAAAAAGAAAAAAAAAAAAAAAAAATATATATATATATATATATATATATATATATATATATATATATATATATATATATATATATATATATATATATATGTGTATATATATATATATATATATATATATATATATATATATATATATATATATATATATATATATATATATATATATATATATATATATATAATATGTATGTATGTATTGTATGTCTCTTAGCAAAAAGTCACAAATTCAAGCTAAAGAGACAAGGGTGCTAAAATAATATTAGAAAGGTTCTTGTTTTACAAAGAGAGTGGTAGACAGTTGGAGCAAGTTGAGAGAGGTGGTGGAAGCCAAAAATAGTGTAGTTTCAAAGCATCATATGATCGAGTGCTGGAAAGATGAGACACCACCCTCCCACATGAGAGAGCTACGAGAGCATAACGCTCTTCCCGTAATTACATTTGTGTAATTGCAGACTATTTAACATGGATGGTACTTGTACAAGGGGGGCACAGGTAGAAACTAGGTACTCAAATGAGCTAAACACATTAGAAACCGTTTTAAATTAGAAGTTAACAAATGAATGCACTTGGAAGTGATGTGGGGAGGGAGATTCCATATACAGTTTCAGTAGATATTAAGAGAACCAATTAGCTTGGGAACATGTATGCCAGTTGATTGACAGTTGAGAAGCGGTATTAACACTTTCGCGCTCTCGGCGCTCAAAAAAAAAAATACCCCAGATGCTTTCGGCACTTCGCGCGCCTACGCGGTAAGACCGAAAAGTGTACACTCTTTTGACTGTCCTGACAATAATTGAAGGCGCACGTATTTAAATTTGGTATCACTGTGTTCGCAATGAAATTGTCTATAAGAGCATACCTATAAAATGCCGCCCAAGCATAAGGAGTATCAACACCAAATAAAAAACTATGCAGATCACTCGCCGAGAGCGCCAAACAGCAACAAAATGTTTCCACTCTCTTAATGGTTGCGAAGCCTACAGTTGTCCTACATCGCTAATTTTGGTATCATTGGAATCGCAATAAAATTCTCTACACGGACATATGCATATGAATGTTTAATATAGGTAATTGCCCACCTGCAAGACTGTGTGAAGTGGAGAGTAGTTAGCCGCGAGCGCACTGGCGAAAACACGGGGGAAATCATGCTTGGAAAGTTTATACGTTTCCTGACCCTACTTTTCTATGTACGTATTTCTTTTTTATACCAATGTGTTCGCAATAAAATTTTCTATAAGATGAACTGTATAACATTTGTACAAAGCATGTGTAAGAGAAGCGCCAAATATAGAACCACGTCGCTCAGTATGCCTTCGCGGCGGAAACGAACGCATTGTTTTCGTTCGTTTGATGTTTGTCATGTTTATACTTGTTGAAACATTTTATAATTTGTATGACAGTGATCGCAGTAAAATTCCCTACACTGACATATACATAACACATACAAATATTTCCCACGTGTTGGATATATCAACGGCTAAAGGGAACCCACTGCCACACGCTCGCCACACCCCCAAACATACTTTGTGTATTTTTTTTTTACTCATAGAAGTTTATGTGATATAATATTCATTCTGGTACCAAAACATTCGCAAATAAATTCCCTACAAAAGTATCCCCATCCATTTCGGTTAAAAAATGGAATTTATAGAAATATTTTTTCGATGGACGAGAAAACTCGGCTGTTATGTGGAATCGTAAGAGAAAACGGCGACGAGTTATCTCTAAAGCGCGAAAGTGTTAAAGAGCTGAAGCTCACCCCCCTCCCCCCCCTCCTGCAAGCACAATAGACGTGTACACAGGTATCTGCACATGCACACACACACACACACACACACACACACACACACACACACACACACACACCCGTCTTTATACACATGTCAGTGTAGTTGCTCCTACCTGTTTGTACTTGTATCCTTCGTTTTCCTGTTTTTTTTTTTTGTTTTTTTTAACCAGTAATTTTTTCTCACAGGATCCCGGGTTCTTAGCTTTCAAGAGGTGCAGTTGTCACAATGTGTCCTTTTAACATCAGCCTCGTCATATATTCTATTTAACCAGAATTCATCCTGCAGAAAATTTTGTAAGGTTGTTGATGGTTTTGACATTTTACAGGTGAACAGAAGCAGAGGTTCTGAAGACGAATACAAATTGAGACGACGTAAAAATTCTTCCCACAAAGTACCGTCCATTTCGGCTGGAAATTCATCGCAAGTGAAAGGACGACAACCTACACTTATGGAAAGTATAGCCAAGCGTCACCGAACTGTATGATTGGCTTTGTAGGGATATGAAAATATGCTTTAAAGATGTTAAAGTTAAGAAACAAATTACAAATATATGTATTTAAAACTTCTGTATATATATTCTATATTATAAATAATTATAAGTGTTAAATTATTTAAATAGGCAGTAGACCATTTATTTTGAGAAATAGATTTCGAAAATTTCATCTTGAGTATGGAGGACGACTTTAGATATTCTGCATGAAGCAAGTCATGCTGCTAGCTTAGCACAGACAATGGTGGTTGTGTGCTGTATGCCTGGTTCCCCCTAGTACCATCTTGTAACGCAAGGCATATCTTCGAAGAACTCTCACACCTGCAGCCTCTTATTGTGATTTGTCGTAGAGTATTTACATTTCCCTCTTAACCTTGATTTAAACTTTCAGGAACCCTCATTTGATCATTATGGAACTTGTTTCCATATATTGTGCAATTATTATTTTCATTTAAGTATTTTCCTCATACTGTATTTGCAAGGTTTTACGTTTTGGGTTCAATCCCACCTCATAAAATAAAATAAAACTATTGTTGTTGTTCTGTAAATGTTTTGGTTGTATCATACCTTTCTTTGTTATCTAACATGCATGTACATGCCATCATTTTGGCCCCACTTGCACCTTGTATCAATGCACTGACTGAGACTCTTGTACTTTGTAGTCATATCTTCCAATTCTTTTTTCCAATGACAAATTTCAGCATTAGAACAAACCCATGAGTTTTTTCCAAGGAATTTCATTAATACAAGGGCTGTACGCAGACACTACATAGGATCTTATAGAAATAGTATTGTGTGATGTACTGGATTTTATTCCCATTTCGGAAGGAATTTCTTACATTTGCCAAACGCAAAAACTGAACGATCGTATGTTGAGCTGTTTTTTTAGTCATTTTGTTTTCTTAACACATAGACAAAAGAAAATTTTACTGCCTGACAAATCATTCATGGCCATGTCAGTCAAAGGTTGCTTTTTGATGATCTATGCCTCAAGGCTTTTGTGTTTGCTACAATTTAATTTATTAACTACAATTGAACTCGTATATACAGTACAGTATGTTAATAATGAGAAGCCATAATAGAAAACTTGTGTGTGTATCATATTGGTTAATATTTAAATTTTTAAGATTGAGCAGGTGTGACGTGACGCAGTAGTACGGCCATACTGGGCCGATGTACTGTGGCACACACTTCGCATTAACAACAACAACAAAAAGTCGCATTGGCCTTTGCAGTGTGAAAATTGCACAGGAGTAAAGGAATACTCAGACAAAAAATTAAGACAATTTACTCTTAATATCAGAATGAACAATTAACATGAAAAATACCCAAAAGCCCTGATAGAACACTTTTGGCAAGCACACAAAAGAATAATAACAACACATGAATAAACTTACTTTAACACAAGAAATAAAGGTCATACTGAAATAATATTTACACAAACATTACAACCTGCACACAAGGACGCTGATGGAGCCAGCATTGTGTGGAAGCCCTAATGTTCCCCTGAGCATCGGAAGAGACTACTGTGGTGAGTGAGGTCGAGGGTATATTTACCCGTGATGGCGACGTCATATATTTTGTCACCGAGGCTTGGAACTGCAAACCGACAGCGTAATTGGTGGTTACCTACTGGTAACAAGCGTTGGCAATTCTTGCACCTGCCTGGGGCTGGGTGGAGGGTGACTGGTGGTGGTTTCCCAACTCGTCTTCTTACAAATTACGTCTGAATTTGGCCGTTTGCCCGTATGGCCGAAAATAAACGTAATTTGAAATTGAAAAATAATTTAAAATAAATTTTGGATTTTTTTTTTTTCAAAACAGCAAGTTAAGGGTCCTTTGATAGGTTAGGAGGGCAAAAGTTCTCCTAAGGTTTCAATGTGTCATGTAAACCGTTAATTGAAAGTTTCCTCTTCTAACCTAACCGAGTAAGCCGGAGGACTCAAAACTGAAAACAGGACAGTACTGTACATCCCTTTCGTGAGGCAATTTCATTTAAAGTTATGTCCATTTTTGGCCTTAGCACTCATATGAGCAAAAAGCGACATAATTTTAAGAGGAAAGGTTGGGTTTCCAAACATGTCTGGGTTGAACTCCATACCAGTCGTAATACACGGTAGGCAGAGAGTGGAGTAAGCAGGAAGAGGCAGTTTCCTCTGCTATGCAGGGGAATTATGTGACAGATAAATGTTTGTCATCAAGTTTTTACTATCACAATACTATACTTATTTTTAGGGGTGGTGGTGGTCATAATTGTACTTAGCCAGTCATCTTTGTGCCACTTGCTTTTTCAAAAGTGTGTTGTTGAAATACAGAAGGAAATGCAGAATAGAACCAGTGAAGAGTAAAGGTGTCATAAGCACAATCAGAGAGCACTGTCTGAACATCAGAGGTCCACAGTTGTTCAACACCCTCCCAGCAACCATTAGAAATATGGCTGGAACAAAGGGGGATGTATTCAAGAGGCACTTGGGTAAGTTCTTGCAAGAAGTGCCAGACCAACCGGGCTGTAGTGGATATGTGGGCCTTCGGGCTGCTCCAAGCAAAAGACTGTTGGACTAAGTTATCACAAGTGGAGCCTGGCCTCAGGCTGCACTCAGGGAGTAGAACTCTTGGCACCCTCTACAGGTATGCTCCAGTTGTGCTGTTTAGATCAATTTGCATTTTCTTTTACGAGTGACAAAACAATTTCTTGGACGGCATCTGCGCCACTTGAGAGCTTGACCAGAGCAACTACTTCTGCACCACATCCACTTCATATTCTTGACCTTTGGCACTATTTAAGACATTTTGAAACATGTCCACAGTTGTTTTAATGGTGAAGGTCTGATGACTTGGCCTTTGATCTGCCTTCTGCATTTGTGATGAAGCAACACTTTGTGAGCTGGCATCCGCTCATACTTGGCTGCTGTTGTGTTATCAAAGGGCCATTCCTTCCTTCCTTCCTTCCTTCCTTCCTTCCTTCCTTCCTTCCTTCCTTCCTTCCTTCCTTCCTTCCTTCCTTCCTTCCTTCCTTCCTTCCTTCCTTCCTTCCTTCCTTCCTTCCTTCCTTCCTTCCTTCCTTCCTTCACATTGCTTTATGAAAGATATTAAATTTAAGATTAAATGCAGTATAAAGCATTAAAAGGTGAATTAAAGCCTCCTGTATTTACTGACATGTGTGTTTTTTACTACATAAGTAAAGAATGAAGTGTTTTGCCATTGAAACAATGAAATGTGAAATATACAATATTTATATATAATATATATACATATATAAATATAGGGGTATTTATATACCCTTCCAGGGGTATATATCCGATCTTCTCTATCAACCTGAATGCTTCAAAATAATCCCGAACAATTCATGAGCATTATACACCAATGCTCAGGAATACTATTTAACCAGCTCCAGCTTTCAGGGACAGCTTGAACTCTTATTCACGATACTCACATACACGCACCAATATAAAAATATAACATTTAAATAAATACAAAAAATTCCGACAGTAGAAAACATGCAACAACCCTGTGCATTTAACCTGTACTAAAAAGGATTTATCTTTAAAGTAATTTTACATAAGTGAAGAAAAGGTGTTGACCAGCCACACACACTAGAAAATGAAGAGATTTGGTCCATCCTGGACCACTAACAAGTCGACTGTCTCTAGTCGATTATCACAATCAACTTGATAATGGTCGAGGACGGACTGAAATGTGGTTGTCTCTTCATTTTCTAGTGTGTGGTCTGGTCATCTTTTTCAGTCACGTTATTGTGACGTCATCTGCAAGAAAAGGTGTGTTTTACTATTGGTATAAAATGGATCTGGAATAGTTGGCCGAAATGAAACACTATTGTATACTGACAAGATAAAGCTTTGAAGCAAATGTACCTAAATATTAAAATATTGAATGGATTTGTATTTTATTAAGAAGTATGTGTAAATTTATCATGCATGTCCTATGCAAAATATATTTTGATGTGAATAATTCTAGAAACTTTAAAGCATTAGAAGCTATGATAATTTAAAGTTACATCATATATGCACGTAACACTTGTCACCAACACAAAGATTCTCGAGCTATAATGACACTTTACTTCAGGTGACAATGAGGTGAAATACAAATACAATGAATGATGCTAGATGTAAGAATCTTGCCAACAGCTTGACGTAAACTGGCAGAGCACTGATAGACACTCGAGCACAAGACTCCAAACAATTATTCACACTATTTACACTGTACAACTATATCACAGACAGTAGCACAATTACTTAATAAAAATAGCCGTAACTGTCCTACACATTCACATTTGTGTACAATATTTATAGTGTGTAATGTTAATTTTGACTTCAGTCTTTAAGGGGGTCATGAGTTCCAAATACTGTATGCCAAAAATATGCAATAAATGAAAACTAGTTCGATTTCAATCAAACTTTTTTGACGAGTTGTATATGAAAAGGGTTTCCATCTGGTCCAAGTCTCGGCATCGTAGCATAAATAAGAAGGGAGAAAAAAATATTGAATTGTCAAAAATTTTCCAAAATGGTCAAAAATTAACATCAAACACAAGTGTGAACTGAAATCATGTTTATGACTCGGCTATCACAATAGCATATATTAAAAAAAATTGTAATAGTTTTTTCAAAAACAAATTAAGTTAAAAAAATTTTTTTTTTTAAATTTTGTTTGTTTATTGGACAATTTGCATGAAACCTGTACACCTGACGGCACGTAAGCCTATCTGTAAGGGTGCCAATTTTGGAGGAAATTGGTTGATGTCAACCTCAGCCACAGATGGCAGCACTTTAGACTTTAATTTTTAATGATTTATTTTTCAAGTAGCATAAACGTAGTCCCTACTCTTTCATTTTCATTAAATTTACATGAAGCTTACACCTTATATGTAAAGTTTGTCTCTAAACTCTTATGCCAGTGTTTTTTTCTTAAGTTCATTTATTGATTTTATAATAGCAATAAACATGATATATTTGCATAATTTTGGGGGGAACTTTCACTATTTGTATTAGTAAAACTAAACATATTTTGGAAAATCCATAGTATAAGATCCTTTATTATATAGTAATGTGTCAGAAAAGTGTCATAGAATGATTATATTTGAAACTTGTGGTTGTAGGAACTTACTGAAAATGTGTAATATTCGTTGAAAAAAAAAAAAATTAAATCTCCTGTTCTATTTAGGCTGCAGTACTGAAACTTGGAACAATTGCAGCCCTTTTCTTATACAACTAGTCAAAAAAGATTTGTTGACATTGAACAAAGTTTAAGAAACTAACTCATGGCCCCTTAAGTGCTTATAATGTAAATATTGAATACTGTACCTATATAACTTAAAATATGGATGTTTTTATGTAAATTATTTAATTGCACATACTGTATAGGAAATCGCTGTTAAGTAAATCTAACTGAACTGTATTTTAATATACAGTATTTGCTCCTAGAGCAGTTTTTTTTTATTTCATATGAAAATGAAAACTGAATTTTGTGTGGATCATTATTCAGGTTGTGTTCCCTCGAATACTGGAATTGCATCTTAATGTGG